AATCTGTGTCTAAGCACCTTTAAATGAAGACAGAAATATTCCAATTATTTGTGAATAATCGAATTTTCTTTTAAAGCATGGTTAGCTATAGATTTCTTCTCCAAAGAATTTTCAATTAAAAGCACTTGCTCTCAAAGAATTTATTCATGAAAACTCTTTTTCGATGACCTTTCAACCTCAACCTGCAATATGTTTTCGTTGAAGATTACGTTTTGTTTTATGAATCAGTATGTTATAATCCTAAGTTTCATTTCTACATATGAATACATAAGAAAACATAACAAAACGCCGATAATTAGAATACTTCTATCTTAAAAAAAGCATTTCGAAGGAAGGAAAATACATTGAAATTAATCAGATAGCCTTGTTAATTATTCAATACATTTCTTTTATCCTTGCTGTATCACAGTTTAAAAACGATTGCAGCAATTGCAGAAAAAAAATTAAAACCCCACTTACACGGGTTATGTTTTTTTCTATATCAGCTCCGACATAAATTCCTGTACTAAAAATAAGGCATTTTATTGTTAAATAAATCCCATATGCAACTGATCATAGTAAATTATTACCAAAAATAAGGTAATTCATCACGTTTATTATAAATTTTAGATGTCAATTTGATACATGTATCAATATACACTCTAATTAAACACCCAATTATAAAACCGTGTGTCAGACTCCATGGTATCTTTTATTTCGAGTGCAGTGAGATATATCGAATTAACGTATGACTGAAAATGAATATTACTTATTGATAAAAGTCATTGATATATCTGCATGTCGATTCAAAGCCACAACAAGAGACTTCATGTAAAATTTTTGAATAACTTCTCTTCTGCTTCATAAAGTCCAGAAACAGGTCTGATAATATAGGGACTTGGCAATCCCAGCAGATTGTTAGAAGACCTGATCTTCAAAGTCTATAAATATTTTATCAAAGAAACACAAGCATCGTTTTTAGTGTAAAGCACCGTTTACATGAAAATGTTCGAGTTCCATTTTTAATGAGGACGTGTTGCATGATGGGAAATGGTGTATAAAGTTTTGAAAACACTTTTCGATGCCATTGATTTTGGCAAAATATTTGATTTCAAATATTCTAAAATTTCTTTGGATTTTTTTTTAATCCACTACAGATTATTGCCATTTTTCGACGAAGCTGTTTACTAGTACTTTAGTTTAACCTTCAACAAACTCTGAAATTTGTTGTGACGAATTGAGTTCGTTTTAACAATCTTTAATTTGTTGAATTTGATGAAACGATATTAATTCGTTATAAAAAAAATTTAATAATTCGTTTAAGCGAACTAAATTCATTATAACAAAGAGCAAGAGCCACTTAGGGCCTTTTTTGGCCCTGAGAATTTCTGAGAAATCGAAACTGCTCAGTTTTGGTTGAAAATGCAGTATTTATAACTTTAACCCTTGGTGACCGTGTATCTATTGAGCATGACGTAATTTTCTCGTTAGTCAATGCATTATGACGTCATAAAATGCGTCATTTTCCCCATATCCTGTAAATTCCTTTAAAAATGGCCAAAAGTTGAGGTATTTTTTCAATATTTCATATAGAGCACAACTTCTGATCCAAAATATGCAATTACATAATGAAACATCAGATTCTGAAGATCACAAAACATGTTTTAATTTTTGGATTGTGGGCTGTGCTCATATTCTAATTCTTTGCTGAAGGTAGTCAAATACGCTTGTTTTCTGCAAATTTCAAGAACATTGCATTTTCTCAAAGCCTGTTTTCCAATACCTGAATTCTCAAAAAGAAATTTTGTCATAGGAAATGAAAGCACTAAGTCTCTACTTTATTTTGATATATGAAATGGGACAGAGGGTAGTCAATTAATTGATATAAGGACAGGGCCATTTTATGCATAAAGTGAACCTAGCTCTTTAAGAATTCCTTTAAACGAATTTCATTTGTTGTAACAATATTTTGAATTCGTTATATCGATTAGATTTACGGATATCCATTTAAAAATATTTTAAATGAAATTTAATGTTTTTAAATTTTGTTTTACTGAATTATACTGAATAAGATTTTGATTTAAGACATATTTACTTCTAAATACTAGTATAGTATATAGATTTGTTTTTGTGAAATCTATAAAGTTCGGCCAGTAAAAAGAAAGATCAATCAAAAGAAAAAGAAATAATAATATATGTGCAATATTAAAAATTAGACCCATTTCAATATTTAGAAATCTTGCGCTTATTGAAAAACTCATAGTTTTCTTTCAAGAACTTGGTCAAATTTCATGACCCTGAGTCGTGAAAACTGAGACTACAGGTGTTCATGGTATGTAAAGCAAATAGTTTCCTTTTAATTCAACATTTTTCGCAAGAACACTCTTAGCCAAAGTAGCAATCCACTTATAACTGGGTTCTCGGAGACAATGTACACAAAGGTCAGTCCTTGAATTAACAAAATTCAGCTTAACACACAATACACCTCATCCTAACACAAAAAAAAACAAACATTTATTTGTTTGTCAATTTAAAACTGTCTCAACCTCTTCTTTCATAGATGTAATGCTATTCAACTGTAATAATGTTTTCTCTTAAAACGTAACATTATTGCAGAGACTTAATCTGTAATTCAGTTCAGAATTTTTAAGCGTGATTTATAAGAAAAGGAATAATTTCTTCAAAGAATCAATTGAAATTATTTTGAGTTTTCCTTTTCACAACACCTTTTGTTAAATCATGACGGATTTCCAATCTGTACATGCAATATTGGATGCAGAAATGTGTACCAATACAAAATGAATTACTACCAATACATTTGTGGATACCAAAACGTTTTAATTTTAGATCTTTAAATATTGATCTCTTGAATTTAAATAAGAGTGTTCCGTTACAAAAGCTTAGGCAAACAATGTAGCCTACTTTTCAGTAGGATAAATATACACAAAATATTCACTAAACAACACATAAGTCTTAATAAATAAACCCAAACAAGTTCATTATTTGTAAATAATAGTGATATTCATATCTTTGTGTAGTTGATTCCGGTTTAAACTACCGACTTAAGTCGGCTTGATTTATGGGAACGGGGGTCTAAAATTGAACTTTTCACCTTTTCTTTTCTTTTTATGCACTTCGGTTACGTTTACTTAATTATCAAATAAAGTCATATATTATAGCTTTACCAAATACGGATATACACATCCTTAGGATTATCGTTTCAAATGTTGTGCGGATAAATAGTGCATACCTCCATCCCGGAATTCATCAGTTGATCCTTTTTAAAGACAATGATACGATTGATGTGACACAGATACTAGAGGGTATATTTAACAAAGATATCCCGACACTGGATAATTATATATAGGCACCATATTCTCTCTCTTGTTCAATATTTAAAGATCCTTTTATATCTAGTTTATAATCTCTCAAGTGAAAATAATCTTTATTGAATTACAAAATATTAAACTTTTCAGGACACCTTGAGTCCATGTAAAATATCCAAAAACAATTAATCCTTGTATATTCTGACTGAAAATCAGCCATTGCTTCTCCTTTAATCTCTTACAACTACGAAAACTCTCACCTGTCTTTAATTAAGTTATTTAAAGTGTAATGTTCATTCATATCCTTCACGTTTTAACTGATTTTTCATTTAGAATTTGATGTTGATGAAGTCAAAAGTTAAGTCTGAACATTTCCTAGATGTAAAGATAAAGAAAAAGTAGCCATTGGGTTTATGTACAAATTAAAACCTTTAGTTTAATATTACTAAGGTGGAAAAAAAAACCATCTTTGCAAGCTTGTTAAATTCACATCATAGAACAAGACTGTTAACAAAGTCGTTACAAAATATCAACTAATTTGTTTATATTTAAAGAAGTCTTTCACATATTAAAAGAGATTAAATAATTTTCATTCGTGATATTTGAGATGTAAGTTGTATTTTGCAATCGATTTTGCATAAAACTTTTCATTACAAGTGTAGTGCTGTATTGCATGAAATGTGAATATAACGAACAGTAATCAAGCTTAAAAAATCCTTTGAAACAATACAAAATTGGAGCAGAGCAAACATGGACCTCTAAAAACATAGCTGGGATAAGGTGTCATGGAGGAGTAAGCATCCCCTGTCGATCGCTAACACCCGCCGTGTGCTCCTTGTCATTAAACCGGAAATATCCGTAGACAATTCAGTGTGAAAAAAATGAGTCAACAAATTGTAGGAAAAACGTCAGTCAACATTCGACTTAATGATAGATTGTATTTGCTGTCAAGGTTATTGTATCGACCATAGAATTTGCAAAATGTTGACTTTTAGCGAAATGTTGAAAGTACTTATTTCATCAACTCATTTGTCAATAGCTTGCCTCATTTTAGAAGTTGTTGGTACTTAGAGCTTGCTCTTGAGTAAAAATCAACTGAGAGGCATAAACTCCATATGCAGATAATAATGGTACATTGCTACATAAATCAGGGAAGTTGACGATAGGAAAGCTGAAGTCATCATGTTTATCATAAAGTTTTGTTGTTAGGTTATAATTTATCGAATAAGATACTCTGTTACAACAGGACGAAGCATCCTGTGTTGGATTTTTATCAATGGTACATTAGACTTGAATTGTTTTCTAAATTATTACACAGCTTTCACTTGAATAAAAAGGAACTTAAGCCTAATTTTATGTTTTTTTTTAGTAATACCGATTTCAACATTATTATGAGGTCACGGTAGCCTAGTGGTAGGGCGCTCGCTTCGTGATCGGGAGGCCCGGGTATTTTTTTTTGTAATGCCAATTTCAACATTATTTTTGAGAATTTATTGTGAAAAACGAGGTTCTGATTCAAATGCAGTTTCATTTCTGGATTCAAACTTATCTCGTTCTCAGACATTCTTTTCTATTGACTTCTTTGACAAACAAATGAGGAATGCAAATAAGAAATGATATAAAAATCCTAGTCCTGTAGAGAAAATTATTTACATAGTATTTTTGGCAGAGTTTACTCTGCAAATATTGAGCCATTCAATGTATAGCTGCCACTGTAAACATGACAGCGGCAATCACAGCATTGCTAACCAAAAAAGACCAGAAAGCAAAAAAGTCAATAGAAGAAGCCACATGATTCCATCCACATGTCACCACGTGACCTTCACTGTGGTCATCAACAGTTTTAAGTCCATCTTTCTCATTCAAATTCATATCAAAAGGTTTAACTTCCACAACATTAAATTTCTGGGTTCCTTTACATCTTAGTTTTCTTTGTAATTGAACAATTTTAACCCAGTATGCTGATATTTCCTCGGAGTCGTCCCTATGATGTAAGCGAAGCTGCAATGCTGAAATAACAAGGGCTATAACTCCATAAACTAACTGAATGATTAAGTACATAGCTAGTATGGGTGTATTGTCAGAGTTTGAAGGCAGCAGTGTAGAAATAATCGTAAGAAACACAGCAAAAGAGAGAAATACGGTCACAGAGAAGGACATTTTTTCTCCTGCATCCACTGGGATCACAAAAACAAGAATATTCAGACATCCCAGGAAAACAACAGGCAGAATAATATTCATGATGTAATATTGAGACTTCCGTTGTAACGTAATTGTAAACTTGATTTCCGATTCCTCGTGTTCTTTCTTGATTTCTGAAGACGTATTAAGTATATCCCAAACTCCATTGGCCTCGTATTCGTAAAATTGAATTCCTTTCGCCGATTTAGAAATTTCTATTTGATCAGCGAAATGGCTCCATGTTATAAACTTAATGTCACAAGTCTGTGTATCGAACGGGAAATGGGTGATATCCATAGAGCATCGACTTTCGAACACGTGGTAAGGCCACCACGAAACCTCGCCAGTGTAATAAATGGCCAAATAATAAAAGCTGCCTCCCAGTTCCTCAAACTTCTTAAATCCGTTCTTAAGTACGAGATCGGGCTTCCATATTTCAGTCTACAAAAATTGAAAACGTAAATCGATGTTTTATTTGTAAACTTTCATTTATTTTTATGCCCCGCCATGAGTATGACCTGGGCATATAGTTTTTGTCATGTCCGTCTTCAGCCCCTCTGTCATATCTGTCACACCTTGTGCTAAGTCAGTTTGAAAATAAACTGTTCAAGATATTTTTATTAAACATCATATGGTGATACAAATTGTTAAGAGATATTCAATCCTCTCTTTGACCTTACTGAGCTTGATCTTACGTTTTACTTTTCTTGATTTTGCGTTTACATGTAACTCAGTTTCACAGAAACTATTAAGGATAGTTCTATCAACCTATACTGGGAGGGCTATTCAACTGCATCATTTTTTTAAACCCTGACCTTCGCTTTCGTCTAGACCTCCTTTTTTCTTAAAAGTGCATTAAGTTCGGTTTGTAAGAAAGCATTTAAGAATATTTATCAAACTTCATCTGCTGATATATATAAGTGAGAATTATTCAGTTGCGGGAAAATTTTTCGATCTTTACCTACTCTATGACCTTTAGATTACTATTCTTAAATTTGTGTTAGGTCAGTTTTAAAGAAACTATTCAGGAAATTTTTATTAAACTCCATATGCTGGTACATATTGGTAGGAGTTATACAACGGCATCAAATTGTTTGACCATTACCTTCCCTTTGACCTAGATCTTACTTTTCTTAAATGCGCATTTAACTCAGTTTCACAGAAACTATTCAAGATATTTTTATCAAACTTCATATACTGATACATATACATGATAACTATTCAACTGTTTAATGTTTTTATACTTTGACCTATACATGTACCATGACCTTGGTCTTACAATCTTATTTGCATTTGGCTCAGTTTCAGAGAAACTATTACCTATACTATGACCTTGGCCTTACTATCTTATTTTGCAGTTGGCTCAGTTTCAGAGAAACTATTACCTATACTATGACCTTGACCTTACTATCTTATTTTGCAGTTGGCTCAGTTTCAGAGAAACTATTACCTATACTATGACCTTGGCCTTACTATCTTATTTTGCAGTTGGCACAGTTTCAGAGAAACTATTAGAGATATATTTATCTTAACAGATATACTGGTATATATTGGTGAGGACTATTCAACTGTGTCCAAAATGTATTTCCTTTACATTACTTCTCTTTATTTGCATTTCACTTAGTTCCAAAGAAACCATTAAAGGTATTTTTGTCTAAAATTATGCACTGATGCATATTGATGAGAACTTATCAATATCCATTATTTTTAGCATGCCTTTACCCACAACCTTTCACTTTACTATTTATTGTGTTCGAGACTAAGTTTTAAAGAACTATCCAAGATTTGTCCATCATACACGTATACTAAATTGTAAGAGCTATTATTTTTTATGTCATAATTTCTGTCCTTAATATTCCCTGTGACCTTGACCTCACTATTCCTAATTTACCCTAACCTTAAACAAAGAAACAGGGTACATTTCTTTCCAGGTTACAATACTTATGAACCTTAGGTATGGGATTTGTGTCCTATGCACATATTTCTACAAAGTTTATTTTATTTTTGTGATATATAATTTAGTTTAAAAATACATGATGTATAAAGTGTATTTTACAGTAAATTACAAGTCTTAATTAAATTAACTGCTCACTCTTTTTTATCAACTGTGGTTTCTAAATACTCCCATTCTAGTAAAATTCTAGATTATCTCTGATGAAAAAACACCATTTTAATAAAAAAAAAATAATTTTATAATAAAAAAATGCGATAATAATAAGTTATAGTCCTTCTTATACATTGCAAAAACATGGTAGCTCTGTTAAAACTTCTTTGAGGGAAATCTCGCAAAGTTTTTTTAAAAGACTAAATACGAAATGATGAAGACTTAATAAAATTCTTATTAAAATCTATTTCATTCCTGGGAATATATTATTATAGACATAGTTATAGGATGAATATATTCAAAAATATGCATGTCCAACCTGTAAATAAGGCGTTTTTGACTTAATTTATAGAATATCAATAATCAAACACAGGTACATGTACGTCGAAAAGTTTCTTATAGAGAATCAGTATAAAAATGATGTAGCCGCGGTTAGTTTACTTGTTCCCTTTCTCGAACCAAATGGAAGTAAATGTTATTAGGAAGAACGTAATGAGAATTCATTTAAGATGTTGAAAAAAAAAATCAGATGATTATCTTGAAAGTGACGATAACGAGCAACGATCTAACATATAATCGATTAAAACAATACTAAAGAAGTGAAAGGCAAACATGAATTGCAGGAAACAGGTCTAATTACATGTAGGTGCCATGGGGGAGTAAGCATCCCCTGTCGACCTATCAAAGACACCATGAGTCCTCTATAATGATCAGGAAAGCGCCCGTGTATCCATGGACATATTATTTAAAATAGTCTAACAATTTGTATGAAAAATGTCAGTCAACATTCGACCAAAAGTATATTTTGAAATAAAGCCACGAATTTGCAATGTTGCGACTTTTCAAGAATGTTGGACAAAACTGTGTTTGCCTACGTTCACATAAATATATTGCTTTATAACAATTGCGTGGATAATTCTTATTTCAAAGATTGATCATTTTAATGCAAAGCACTGGAATGCTTCTTTCAGTGTTTTAATTTGTTTTTATATTATAGATATATGTATAGTGTATATATTATAGCTGAATGGAGGAATTATGGCTGATCTGTTTATTTGCAAGTTGTCCATTCTAGTATCACAAAAAACTGTTGTGAAAGAACTCTCTAAATTACTTAAAATATGAACCATCCTTTTTGCTACACGATCTAGATTCTACTAGACTACATGTGGAATGACGATAGTATATTTTTGCTACATACGTGGCATATAGAATAGAGATAGTACATACTTAGGTTCAAGTTCTTGTTACTTGTGCAATAAAGCTGGTACATATTTGTTACCTATGCAATAAAGATAGTACATATTTAGCTTCAAAATCATGTTACCTGTGCAATAAAGATAGTACACATTTAGTTTCAATATCTTGTTACCTGTGAAATAAAGATAGTACTTTTTTTTCTTTTTCACCGACTGTTAGTTACCTGTGGAATAAATATCATTTCAGTTTCGTTATAGTCTGCGGGATTCCATGTCAACAGCTCATCTATCCATGACAACATAAGGAATCCAGTAGTTACCAACTTCTCCTTCACTTCGCTGACTTCATTGACGCTACTTAGGTAGAAACTGACATCAAGAGGAAGCGGATCATGTTGGTTAATCACTGGACGGACTTTGGGCGAATAATTACTAAACAGGTCGTCAATCAACGACTGCAAATTTTGATTGGTTTGTGGCGCAACGGAACGAATCACGAGGAATGTAATTGTCATAAAAATCTGCATTTTCCAAAAAAAAAATTTGAATCCACACGTCAATAAATTGATAATTTAGACAGTTTCACATGTACTCTTTATATTATATTAACCACAACGGAAATACGATTATGAACAGACTTTGAAGTCAATTGTTCTCCTATTATTATGTGTTTCATTGAGAACAAAATGTCTCAAAGACTTAATAAAAACAGAGTCGCATACACTTGCCAATTTTCAAAACGTTTAAGAAGAAAAACTAACAGGTTGTAATTTAAATCTAGATCGAATTTCTCAATATAACAGAAAAGTATTTATCAATAAATAGAGCGGATTCTGTTGTTTACTTTGTAACATTGATATTCATTCTTCTGGTATTGCTGATTCCGGATTGCGACTCGAGCTGAACTCCATTCGTATAGAAGAAAGGGGAGTCTCGTGAAGAAGAGTAAACAAAGTTATTAAAGTGAACAATTACTCATTAAGTGTGATTTAATTACAATATTTATCTTTCTATACTTTTCTTTTAATCTAATGAAATTCAAATATTGATCTTGCTAGTGAAAAAATCAACATTTATCGAGTTGATAATCTAGTTTATTATAATGAAGCCTTTGATAATTAATAAACTTTATTTAATAAAAAAAATACTCCTATATATCTCATTATAATCTTTTGACAATAGAATACAGTAAAGAATTAGAAAATCAATTTTGTAGTTCACCTGCGCCGAAGTCTAAAGTGAGGTATTCTGGTCTTCATGTGGTATTTTTGACTTCTGTGAAACATTGGACCAATCTAAATTAACCACCTTCCCCGCATGCACAATTACATTGCATATTTCATGTTTTCTGCTGATTTATTGACTAACGCTTTCTAAAATTGGTATTTACGTTTTTGTTTTTTTAATATACGCAATAAGAGTGAGCTTTATTCCTGCAGAACAGTTAAGAATGATTATTCTTTTTTCTATATGTGTTTGTCAAACTACGGCACCCGCATTTAATAACAGTGATACGAGATTTGGATACAGATATAACAGATAAAAAATAATCTACAAACAATACAAATCTGTGAACATAGCTTAAATACAGACCCCCAACATTTTTAAAGATGGGATGCCGAGGAGGAGAAGGCATCCCCGGTTGACCCGTCACAACCGCAGTACACTGATGCATTGATCAGATAGACGGAATACTAGTATTCCATAATCAAATTTAATATATGAACAAAGGCCTAACAATTGGTATGAAATACGTCAGTCAAAATACGAACCAATGGCCGGTTGTATTTGCTTAAAAAGGTCATTATAACTATCACAGAATTTAGGAGAACGAGGTTGTTAAAACCCATGTAACACAAACTAATTTGTCAGTCCCCTACCCCGGTTTAAAAAATGAACTCTTGGCATGTTCTAGAGTATCGAATAAGTTTAAGACATAAATACCATACACAAGTGATAGCGGATACTACATAAATAAGGAAAGTTGATGATGGAAAAGCTGGTGTCATCTCGTTTAACATACAATTTGGTTGTTAGTTGTTAGATTTATTAATGTTAAATCTTTTATAAACTTGGTTTTTCTTACCCATTTAATGTTTTCTTCCATACAACTCTGACAGCCACCAAAAGTTGTATGTTTACTATTTCACAGTGGAAGTAGTCTACCTGAATTGCTTTTGAAAATTACTCATCGGATATCATGGGAAATATAATAAATTTATTGTTTAAGTCAGAACCATAGGACTGGCAGTGTTAAGAAAAAAGCAGGACTTTTTCATCTTTTCGGCTACCATAATTTTTTTGATTTATCATCAATTTCGGTTTCTTGAAATAATAAATTGATAAGCAAAGTTTTTGTCTCTGTACTTTCATACATTTCAATGACCGTTGATAGATGTTTATATTATTTGGTTATTGTTGAAACATTTTGCATACTCAGTCTAAGCTTAAAGGTGCACATATGCCCCCCCCCCCCCTCCAAACCGAAGGAGACATGAATTAGAAAGAATTTTTAGCAATTATGACAACACTGTTCACCAAAAATTGATGTATAGATTTATATATCTAAGTGTAGTATACTGTGTACCAAGTATTAATGAAATAGAATTAAAACTGTAGAAAGGTTTTTAAAGAATTTCTCACATTATTTCTAGTTTGCCATGGCAAATGTCAACCGAAATGAAAAACATCTAACATTCCATGTATACAGAGTTATGCATATTGAATTAGTATATATGTCCACCAAGATTTATTGAAATCAAACCAAAAATGTGGATGTGGTATTTTAAAGAATATCACAGAATTGTTTTAATAACCATGACAAGACCTTCATGGAAATCGGCTGGTAAGAGTCGAAGTGATAAGGAGATAGAAAGACTTCATAAAAATATGCATAATTCCAGTTGAAAAGGCTTTAATTTAACAACATTACCCAGCTTATATTCACAGTTCCCTTTCAAAGGATGGAATCCTTCAAAATAATCCTAATGTTTTAAAAACCTTTAACATTACAGTTAATGGAAGTGAGTTGGGTATGCCGTGCCTATACTGGATTCCAAAATTTCATAAAAACCCTTACGATCAAAGAAAGCAAGGTCAAGTAAATGTTCAGCAAAATCCCAATCCTTACATTTCACCAAAAATATTAACTGCTGCGAAGGATAAACTTCTTACGAACTGCACTACTATATTTTAAATAAGTGGTATAAGGGCGAATTCACAAATAATGAGCATCAAATTGAAATTTTTGAAAAAAATTTGAAATACCTATAACATATTTCTCACTTATATCATCAAATTGTACATGCATTCTGGTTAAAATTCCTGAAGTACGTTGCAATAGAATAGACGATTGGATAAAATAAAATGTTTCAGAATTTTTATCAGTAAAACTTTATTTGGAAAAAGAAAATATCACTACATCCTCAAAGACTTAAGACTAAAATACATAATAAAGAAGTAATATTTTTTTTGCTTCAAAATGGTATCAGGGATATAAATGAATAAATCTAAACCTTGATTGAGTTTCTTCTCTTGCATATGTGGAAAAAATTGGTATTTTATTGGTTATTTTACAGTATTTTTTCAATTCTGGTTTAAAAAGTATGAAATATGAAAGAAATATGAAACAAGAAAATTCCCTTAAAATCACTTTTTTGTCCATTTAAGTCAATTCTTTAAATCAAAGCCAAAAATATTTTGATATGCAAGTTTTCTTAAAAAATACTAGATTTTGAAATGACCCTATTTTACATTATTGTGCTGCACTCCTGACATCTGATATATGTATTTTATTTAACATTGTTAAAAAAAAAATTATACACAATAACCCATTCTGAGGTCCGTGTTTGCTCTGCTCCAAATTTGTATCGTTTCATTGGACTTTCGAGATTGAATACTGATCGTCATCTTCATATTTCCTTGATAAATATAAAACAGTTTTGTTGCATTCCTGACTGCAGTAAAAATAAAAATTAAGATCACAGAACACAAAAAGTGTAGGCAATATCAAGTGGTAGCGAAATTGTGCAATATTTATTCTAGTACAAGATTTCATAATTAAAACACATGAAAGTATTTAAACTTGGTTTTATATCTAGAATTATTCTCTATTCATGTAAAAAAAAAACTAGCTTAAATAAATACTTAGAAGATAAGATATATTTATTGTACATTTTCCTTCACAGGACAAACACTGTAAGCAACTGAGGTCAACCAGATACATACTACTCATCAATTTTGTCTTTAGATTTATTCATACTAGATCAGCAGTTATTCAAACATATTTGTTTGACCAAGAGCATGGGAGTCTTTAAAGTAGAATTGTGAAGCGAAAATTACACCAGAACCTGTTCCGTTGTTTCAGTGAGGTTGAGGTGGAATTACTTGAATTTTATAACAATTTTTCAGTGTGTTTGTTTTTTACATTCATACAAAATTCAAAGAAAAGATAAAACACATCTGAATTGATAAAATTGAAAAAGAGAAGGATTTTCATAATAAAACTGTCAATGATTTAGTACAAAATTATACAAATAGATCATAATTTATTAAAAGATATTTCTTAGCATGAATAGAAGTCTTTTCATCATATAACTTGAGTCTTTAAAAAAAATTATATATGTTGCACTCCTGACCATAGAAATATAGATCTGAAATATAGACAGACCATGTAATTGATAAATCTATTTGGTAAAAATGCTCTTTTTTTAGTCCCCAACCGGTGAAACCGGAGGAGACTATAGGTTTCCTCTGAGTCTGTCCGTCCGTCTGTCTGTCTGTCCGTGTGTCTGTCCCTCTGTCTGTCTGTCAGTCTCTCCCACTTGGTTTTCCGCACTTTTTTTCTAAACGCTTGCAGATATTGAGCTGATTTTTGGTATGTGTGTGTATCTTGATGAGTTACAGATCAGGATTGCATTTTGTTCCGCTTCAATGATTTTTGACGGAATTACGACCTTTTCAATTTTTCAGGGGTTTCCGCAATTTTTTTTCTAAATGCTTGCAGATATTGAGCTGATTTTTGATATGTGACTTGACCTTGATGAGTTAAAGATCAAGTTTGCATTTCATTCCGCTTCATTGATTTTTGACAGAATTATGACATTTTCAATTTTTAAAGGGAACCAGATTACACTTGCCGATAGGGGACTAGTATTGCTATTGCAATACTCTCAGAATGCTCGTTGTCTTTATTTTCCAAAATAAAAATCAAATTGCTGGGAAGCAAAACATCAAATGTTGCACTCCTGACATTATTGGGTATGCACAGATACTTGACTCTCATTAATGCTGCTTGTGATTTATATAACATTTTTTAAGTTTTAAATTGTATATCTGTTATTAGTCCCCTTTGGTGAAACCGGAGGGGACTATAGGTTTCCTCTGAGTCTGTCCGTCCGTCCGTCTGTCTATCTGTCTTCTGTCTGTCCCTCTGGCTGTCTGTCCGTCTCTCCCACTTTGTTTTCAGCACTTTTTTTCTAAACGCTTGTAGATATTGAGCTGATTTTTGGTATGTGTGTGTATCTTGATGAGTTACAGATCAGGATTGCATTTTGTTCCGCTTCAATGATTTTTGACGGAATTACGACCTTTTCAATTTTTCAGGGGTTTCCGCAATTTTTTTCTAAATGCTTGCAGATATTGAGCTGATTTTTGATATGTGACTTGACCTTGATGGGTTATTGATCAAATTTGCATTTCGTTCCGCTTCATTGATTTTTGACGGAATTATGACATTTTCAATTTTTAACGGGAACCAGATTACATTTGCCAGTAGGGGACTAGTAGTACTAATACAATACTCTCAGAATGCTTGTTGTTTTACACTTTGAATGTTTTTTTTTACCTAATTGTCTTTCAGGTTTATAAAATTGATTTTTTTATGCAACACTACAGTTTTTCTGTTGCACTCCTGACATGGTATAATTTTTTTTCAACATCAGCCATGACCACAACTTGGTCAAATAAAAGTTGCTACAGTCTACATTTAAAGCTCAACACTCTGAATATTATCAGGAAAGTCTTTATCTCCAACATAAACCATTATTATTTATTTCACAGATCTTCAAAAAAGTTGAATTTTCAAAATGTCACAAAAAAGTGTTTGCACTCCTGACATTTTTAGCATCATTTTTGGGCAATTTTTGGAGAACTTTTTGAGAATTGAGATATCAAGAGATATTTGATAGGTATTTAGACACTTTCTGAAGACATATACTGAGACATTGAAATTTATTCCCATTGCCTGTATATATAGCGCAGGTTGACAAATACGAGTTTGGTCATTTTTTAAAAAATTCACCCACAAATCAAATGTGGATTCTCAAAAATTCTAAAGAACGTTTGAAAAATTAAAATTGCAAAACTTTTCAAAAATTATTAACATCAAAACAAAAGACTCTACAACTCTTTATACCATTATTCCTCGCAATATAATACAAAAAGCACATAATAGACAACTGCTTTTTCGATAAAAATGGAACTCCTGAATCTTTTGTTTGGTCGTCTACAAAATTACTTTGTTAAAATCATTCTGATTCTTCATACAAGTACTCTGAAGATTCTACACTACAAGTACTCTGAAGATTCTACACACAAGTACTCTGAAGATTCTACACACAAGTACTCTGAAGTTGATATTAAAAAGATGTTTGAGTTCCTCATTAACAATATTTATCTAGTTTTTCGAAACCAAGTTTTCCAAAGATTTGAAGTCCGCGCTCGAGGGGCACTAATTGTGCTCCTTTATAAGCCAGACTATTTTATATTCTTATATAGCAGATTTTATTCGGAATATTTTTAACACGAAAAGCGAAAAGAAGAAATCTCTTGCAACGTTTTATCAATAAACAATAGTTATTTTCATTCATATGTCAACTCGATATATCCCCGTAAACTCGAAATAAAAGACACCTCAGAGTCTGCCAAATCTGCCTTCATACTTGGATATTTTCCAGACTATAGACCTTAATAGCCAAGTAATAACTAAACTGTATGAAAAACATCGTCAACTTACCCTATTTATGTAGCAATACTTACCTTCACCTGCAAATGATGTTCATGTCTCCTCCTGATTCGATGTTAAAATGTATGTTCTGATACATCAATTTTTAAAGAAAGGCAGGTTATTGACAAAAAGTCAATATTTCAAGGTTTTCAATTATTTCGTTTAAAGCTAGCACATTTTCCAAATTCTACGGTCATTATAATGACCATGTTTGCAAAAACAACCTATCGTTGAGTCTTTTTTTGACTGAAATGTTTCCTAAGAATTGTTAAGTCAGTGTTTTTATCCATTTTGACTACAAATTACTGATTTACGTCATCAATACATCACGGCGGGGGTGACCTATCAACAGAGGTTGCTTACTCCTCCTAGGTACCTTAATTATCTCTGGTGTTTCCAGAGGACCGTGTTTCGCTCCGTCTATGATTCGTATTCTTCACTGAATTTATGAGAACACTGTTCGTTACCTTCACCTTTTACACTGCTGATACTTCTTGATGTATTATACCTGTTTACCAAGTCTTATTGAATTCGGACCAAAACTGAAGTAGAGCATTTTGAAAGAATTTCACAGGAATTTCTTTTTAGTAGCCATGGTAACAAAATGTGTTGAAATCAAAAAAAAAAAATCCTGAGATGGAGACAAAAAAAATTTGAATGACACTTTCTTATTGATGAATCAGTTTTCTTCAAAGAATCATCCTTGGGACTTTGCTGGGGATTAAAAGAGCTGACACTCATGAATCTAGTTTCTGTTTGCTTTACTTCTTTTTAACTTATCCCCCCAAAAAGTTAAATATCCTGAAAACTTTTATTTTGATCTATTTCTTCTGTGCTTATTTTTTAACAGGTGTTCCGAAAATGGAAGATGTATTCAAAATAAGATTTTAAAATTACATGGAAATATCTATTCCATCGAATCTGTAAAATGTATTTGCATAGTTCCTGTAACTAGTGGTTAATAATCTGTATCAAGCATATTTGAACCTGGTACATGTACCTCCTTATAATTTATAGGCATTTTAGAGCATATTGCAGGAATTATCCTGTAGAAATACACAAGTCGGTACAATTAAATATCCTAATTTGGTGTGATCTAAGGTTGGCCTAGATAATAAAAAGTCTAGCCCCCAACTAAGATGTTATATTCCAAAGGCAATATACTCAGTATAATAAAAACGTAATAAGCAAGTACAGAGGTTGCGTCTAAATGTCCTCCGACAAAGTCTCTTAGTATTACAAACAATTAGCACTATCATTAGTATCAAAATGAAATGCCTGTCATTTAAACACTAGTTTATTCCACATGGCGACTATATTCCTTTAGTCCCCTCCCAATGCTGCGAGCTTCTGTTTTGGTGTTGTCAACAATATTTGAGTTCCTCGGACACTGGTTTCGGGTCCCACTACGACTGGCCACTGTAGCCTCTTGGCCTTGTTCTTGAAGGGTAATTACACTGGAAGGCGTAATGTAATCATAATTAAAAAAACGTTATTTAATGATTAATTTTTTATTGTTATCATATAGATATTATAAATCCAATTTGGTGTGTTTGCTATAAATTACTGTGTTGCTGATGCTGAAAACATGCTGATAGTAATCAAAATATTGGAGATAAAAAAAGACCAGAAAGCGAAAAAATCAATGGAAGAAGACACGTGCTTCCATTCACACATCACTTCCGGGTCACCATTGTTAGGCTGCATGGTGTTAAATCCTTCTTTCTCGTTCAAGTTTGAATCCAAAGCATCGACTTTAGTCGTATTTGTTTTCTTACATCTCAGTTTTCTTTGAAGTAGGACGACCTTGACCCAACATGGCGGTATTTCGTTTTCGTTGTCTCTATGATGTAGGCGGAGCTGAAAAGCTGATATAATAAGGGCTATGACTCCGTATATTAATTGAACGATCAGGTACATAGCTAAAATCGGAGTGTGGTCGGAGGTAGTTGGCAACAGTGTGGAAATAATGGTGAGAAAAACAGCAAAAGCCAAAAATACGGTCACACAAAATGACATTTTTTCTCCTGCGTCGACTGGGATCACAAAAACTAGCATATTTAAATAACCCAAGAAAACGATGGGAAGAATAATATTTAATATATAATACTGGGACTTTCGACGTAATCTAACGGTGAATGTGACTTCGGATTCGCTCATCTCTTTCTTGATCTCCGATGATGTGTCGACTATATCCCATACACCATTGGTCTCGTATTCGTAAAATTGAATTCCCTTTGTTGATTTTGTTATTTCTATTTGATCTGCAAAATGACTCCATGTGATAAATTTGATATCACATTTTTGTGTGTCGAATGGGAAATGGGTTATGTCCATGGAACAACGACTTTCAAACACATGGAACGGCAACCATAGAACTGACCCTTCGTAATTGATTGACAGGTAGTAAAAGTTTCCTCCCAGCTCCTCGAACTTCTTAAATCCATTCTTCAGTACAAGATCAGGCTTCCATATATCATTCTACAAACACCATTTACATTTTAAATTATGTCTTGATATAATCTCAGTTTAACTCATGTAAGGTGAAAACAGCTGAAGATTTAAATATCTTCTAATTATAATTGAGAATGGCATAATAGACTCTTAAGACTTTGTTGGAGCTTTGCAACTTGAACTGTGGAACAAGCAGCCAACTGGTCATGATTGGCCGATGCTTTTTTTCCACTAACATGCATATATAGAAAAATATTTTCGACAAGCAGTTTAATTTCCTGATTAATACCGTAGATAATGCATAACAATTATACAATTCAAAGTCCCTTTGGAAACCTCGGTCTTTATTATTTTTATCAAGCATTAGGGATGTCAAAATTGAGACATAAAGTCTGTAACATCCTGAATGGGAGACAAACTAACCCTAATCAGTCAAACCTCTTTTGGGGTGAGAGAATAAAATTATTCAATCGAATAGTGTACATTTACAAAGATTAACCATTAATGTCTTGGGTGCGTGCAACCCATCCTATAATTAGTGTAATTGTGCACAAGGACTAACCCTTATCAGCCAAGTGGTGTGCGAAATATTGAATCAAGAGTTATGTATCTTTGATTTGGCACCGTGTAATTCATGGACTGGAGGCATGGAGTGGAGTTATGGAGTGGAGTTTGGAGTGGAGTTTGGAGTCAAATTTTGGAGTCTTATATTTTTTTTTTAAAACATGAATGGAAAAAGATGTTCAGGAAATTGCATTATTATGAAAGTCTTCAATTCTTTTTTGGACATTTGTTTGCTGTTTCTTGTCTTGTACTAAACAGATTGACAATTCATAGGTACTATGACTTAACTAAAATTTGTAAGTTTCTGAAACTTAAGTAAGTACTTAAGAAAGTATTTGTAACTTTAGAAAATTACATCAGTATTGAATAGACAGACATGATACTGACAAGATAACCCCTGTTCTTTATAAATATTTGGAAACTGTTGAATACAATTAATCAACAGATATAGTCGGTCTTACTGATTTGTTTTAATACAGTTTAATTTGACGTGTTAACAAACCTGTCAAGAGCTACTAGGTTCTGTGTTTAAAGCAATTTATGTGTCAGTACATGTATATACACTCACTTATTCATTACCTTCCATGTTAAATAAAAAAAAGAAATTATAATCAGTTTTAAAATAAGTTTCACACTTTATACCACTATTATATGGTGTACTAAAAGGTTCACTCACTCCCTTACTTCAGCGACATAGCAATTATCATACTAATATCTCTCCCTTTTCCTTGGGTTGTCACTCCTTCACCCTCAAAAACAACAAATCAACTATGGGTCATATCACACTTCAAGTGAAAGCAATGTGTTAATTGTTTTTACTCCAGTTTATCTTTATAAAACATTGAATAAATTTTCAGTTTTCTAATTGATAGTGACAGCTATGTAAGACTGCACTGGCTCATACAGAAAAGCAAGAATCCTCACACCCAGTTTCAGAGATGCTGATTAAACTTTGAACGATGACCATTTAATTTTGGAGTATGTGATCTAGTGTTGAATTAACTTGAACAGCATGCATACATTAAAATTATCGCGTTCTTTAGGAGTTTATATAAATATTATCATCCCTTAACTAGCATCACAGTGCATTCCTTCCCATTAACTTCTAAATTGATAAAAATTGTGAGTCACCAATGTATTGTATTCATATTACAGTATCATAATATTATTTAATTATTTAAGTAAATGTATGTCAATTACTGATGATCTTTTTTTTTAATTCACATTTTAAGATACAAAATAGATGATTTCAAATCTACAGTAAATTATATAGAGAGAAAATCATCAATCTTATTCTACAAACAACCTTGTAACAATATATTAACCTACATTGTTCAGCTGTGTGGTCAAAAACCTATCAAAGTTTTAGCAGACATATCAAAGATGTGACAGAAAGCTAAAATTTAGTTCAAAGGGTTTTATCACCTTCCAATTATGTGTTGAAAGCTATGGTGATCATTATTTATGTAACAGTTAAATTTGATTAAAACATAGAATAAACTGTCACTGTTTTAGATAACACACTTTTTGACAATGAGAGTGAAATTAATACCCACGACCTTATCTGAAAGAATTTGCGGGAATTTGATGCAGACACGACACTGTATGTCCCACATAATCTGTCAAGAGTTATTTATACAAGAGCATGCAGGCAGTGTTAGGCAATTATAACAGACCCATTTATTCACATCAGTATTCTATTCATTAAACTGAAGTACATTGTACAATAATTATGGGTAATTCCTTTTCGAAGAGTTGGAGCAGAAGATTGATCTGTCTAAATAAAATTTAACATTAATATAATATCAGTCCTGAGATTTAGGTAATAGATAATGTGATCTTCGACTGACTTGTTCTAACCATCAATATCTTAAATGAATATTTGTTATTATCTCAAATCCTAGAACATAAGCTTTCAAATATGACTGATACAATGTCTTTCATAAGTATAAATTTGGTTGTGAAAAAACTCTAATAAATATTACTAAGAAATTTGATAAATGATTATTATGAAAAATCGTCAAAATTGATATTTTTTAATAATTCAAATAAACATTTAAAAAAGCATACCACTAGTCTACTTCATAATATTTTTATGTCCCGCCATGAATATGGCTGGGGCATTTTGAGTTTGTCATGTCTGTCTTCCGTCCTTCTTTCCTTCCGTCAAGCTTTGCATTTAGCTCAGTTCAAAGCTCAGTTTCAAAGATATTTTTCAAGATAATTTTTATAAAACTTCATATGTTGATAGCTATTGATGAGAGCTTTTCAATTCTGTAAACATTTTTTGACTTTGACCTTTCCTTTGACCTTGACATACTTTTCTTAAATTAGTGTTTAGCACAGTTTTAAGGAAATCATTCAGGATAGTGTAATCAAACTTCATACGCTGATACATACTGATTTTAACATTTTTTTTTTTTACCTTGACCTTTCTTTTGACCTTGACCTCACTTTTCTTATAAATAATGTTCAGCTCAATTTTAAATAAAGAATTCAAGATATTTTCATCAAACTTCACATGCTAAAACATACTGATGATAGCTATCAACTGCATCAACATTTTTTTCACCTTGACCTCACTTTTCTTAAATCAGTGTTCACCTCAGTTTTAAATAAACCATTCAAGATATGTTTATGAAAATTAATATGCTGATACCTATTAGTGAGGGATATTCAACTGCATGAAATCTTTTAACCTTAGGCTTTCCTGTGATCTTGACCTCAATTTTCTTTAATTTGCATTTTGCTTAGTTTAAAAAAACATTTAAGGTATTTTTATGTAAGCTTATGCACTTATACATAATTTGGTGAAAATTTATCATCTATATCCAATATTTTTAGATTTCAATTTCAATTTTAAAGAAACTATTCAAGACATTTGCTTCAAACTTCATACACTAATACAAATTTTCATGTTGCATTACTAATATACACTGGACGGGGCATTCATGTCCTATGAAAATATTTCTAGTTTCTTCCATGATATGGATTGTTGAATTAAAATGTAAACTAAAATGTTCATCTACACTTTTCCAAGGAACGCACGCATAACTTTTAATAGCAACATGGGAATATAATAAAACTAAAGAGTTGCCACCTGAAGAATTTTGTATCTTTATTCTATACATCAGTAAGACAGATTAAATCTCATATTTATTCCAAGATTGATCAATGTAAAGCTCACATTCAGTAACTCTTATTTTGGGGGTATTGCAAGAAAGAATATATTTGCTTAAACAATCGGAAACTTCAGGCCAAAGGAGCAGAAAAATATCTAAAATGGATTACGGAGTTTCAAATAGGCATGGATGACACCATCTAAAAAAGTAGCAAGAAACATTATTTGTCTGTTTTTGAGCAGATTTTAAGGCGATTCAACAAGATACCCGTAACCTAATTTTAGTAACAGGCGTTATGTTAAACGTTGCAATAGCTGGTGCTTTATAGCAACATGGGAATATAATAAGACTAGAGAGTTGTCACCTGAAGAATTTTGTTCTAAATAGCAAAAATCAAATAAAAAAAATCAGACTCCAAAATTTGACTCCAAACTCCACTCCAAACTCCACTCCATAACTCCACTCCATGCCTCCAGTCCATGAATTACACGGTGCCCTTTGATTTCGCCGGAGGACCAAAAACCTGGTGGAAACATTGGCTTAGTTGCCTTGATATAGACTTGAGATTTTCTACGATTAAGCCGCTTCGTGCGAAATATGTCCTGAAAGTTCACGCTGTTATTATAAGCAAAGGCAGCGGCTTCCTTCGTGAACTCATTTTAGCGTTGACATCAATAAAATTTAATTTTGCTTGTAAAAACCATCTACAGTGTATAAGATTTGATTGAATAAATTTTGTTTTCATTATACGAGACCAATTGCCTGGGGGTGATAAAGTAGGTCAAGCACGGCGTGATAATTACGCAAAGTTGGAATGTTGTGATCGTGGGTGTTAATAGTATACGGCACAATTGTTTAGATTCAATGGCTTTTAAAACTGTGATTATATGTTTTCATAACTATTTACCCAAAAAATGAACATTACCTTTGATCTATTTCTAATGGGGGAAAGCCGAGAAAATTAAGTGGTAAAGTTTATAATAGTCAAAGTCTGTGGTGACGCTATATATATATATGATGTGAAGTTTGACGAGTGGAAATTTTGACGAGAAAAGAAAAATCGTCAATATAGTCAAAATTAGCACGTCGTCAAAATTTCCACGTTTACAGTAATAGTTGTCAAGCTGAGAGTATTAGATCTTTAAATTTTCGGACAAGTGAAGTTGACAAGTAAATGTCTCTGCACTTGTCCGAATGGACAAGTACTAGAAGTAGGAAAAAAAAGGTTATGTAGAGCCCTGTGAAAGTAAGTTTTTATTTTAGTAAGCGCATTAAAAAAATGGCCAGCACAACATTTTTTAAAGCTTATGAAAATAAATTTAGGAAAGGGTGGGGGGGGGGGGGGTTGATATCGTTAAACAGTTAAATACTCCTTGTTCAATTATTGATTACCTTGGATATGAAATATATGGAGATAACGAACAGTGTTCAAGCTCAAAAGTCTATTAAACATTACATAGTGGACTATTCGTTGACATCCCTACCAAGCATACATATTTTTCTACAAATTTTTCCCCAAGGACATGAAATAAAAGAAAAATCAACAATACAATGATATCGATTACGACAATTAATATTCACACACAACTTATTCCTATTTCTTTATCCTTAAGTCCCCCGATGTTGTAATGGAGAATTCTTTTGAAATATCCTTTCAAGAAAGGCTTTATAGCAATTTGTTCTCATCAATGGCAGTTCTACTTATTAAGTATTTGCAAAGTTCTTCTGAGAAGATCGGTGTAAGTGGAAGGCTACATCATTATTTGTACAGTTCATTAACTGATATTTAGCATACCTGAATGATTTTGACAGTTATGAATGTAATGGATAGTCTGAGTTTGTTACAGGAGAAATGTTTCTATTCCATTAAGAGATATTTCAGATATAGAATTACACCTACTTATACAAATACTATTCCCTTAGACAAAAAAGAAAAAAAATTATTACAAACTGTATGACTAGTTCTTAAACTTTAGCCATTGATAAGATTAATTTTGTTTATTTTCTCAGATGTACCATGCATGCCTCAATCCCTCTCAAAATCTAGTACTGAATGTAGAAATACTTTTTTCCGCGTGGTATTAATTAATTATACTTCTGTTAAAATGTTTCCCTCAGAAATTATTATATACATCAAGCCCTCGGGGAATAGTTCCTGTCGCGGGTTTGATAAAAGAGCTATCCCACTCACAACCAGTGGATAAGTGTATATTGTACTTTATGTGTGCGGTCACAATTTTCTCATCATCATTCCAATAGTACTTTTTCAACCCTTTATTCTTTTTGAATTCGAGAAAGCAAAAATATCATCAGAGAAAAGGCATTTAAAACAATATCTAAGTAGTTTTTGGAGATCTATGTAGTTTTTGGAGATCTGTGTAGTTTTTGGAGATCAGGTTTTTCAACAATCTGTCGGAATTCCCATGGGTACCAATTGCACCCCCTTGTTAGCAAACCTATTTTTGTATTCATATGAAGCAGAATTTGTTAAAAAACTTCTAAATGAGAAGAAGAAAACTCTTGTTGTGGCCTTCAACTCGACATTTAGATATATCGACAAAGTATTATCAATTAGCAATAGTTACTTCCATTGATGTGTCGACTTGATACATCCCAGTGAGCTTGAAATAAAAGATACCACAGAGTCTGACACATCTGTTTCATATTTGAATATTTTACTAGAAAAATACTTTAATGGTAACCTTAAAACAAAGCTTTATGATAAACGTGACGACTTCAAATTTTCGATCGTCAATTTCCCTCACTTACGTGGCAATATACCCTTATCACCTGCATATGTGTTATTATCTCCCAGTTGATTCGATACGCAATAGCATGCTCTACGTATGAACAATTTCTAAATAGAGGTAAGTTATTGACAAACAAGTTAATGAGACAAGGATATCAACAGTCTCGTTTAAAGTCAAAATTTCTCAATTTTTATGGTCGATATAACTACCTTGTCAGCAAATACAACCTGTAATTAAGTCAAATGCTGACGACATTTTTATACTAATTGTTAGGCCATTATTTACACACTGAATCGTCTACGGATTTTTCCGTTTTTCCCGATCATGACAAGGAGCACACGGCGGGTGTGAACGGTCGACAGGGGATGTTCACTCCTCTCTTGACACCTGATCCCACCTCTGATGTTTTTGGAGATCGGTGTTTGCTCTTCTTCCGATTTGTTTTGAACTTGAATACTATTCGTTATCTCCATAATTTATGTAGCGTGCACATTTGTATGAAAGATGATTTGCATAATTGATATATAAAAGGGTAACATTAAAAAGGTTCACCCCGAAAAAATAAACCATTGTCAACCTTGATTGAAAATGGTTTCTTGAGGTGATTTTAAATGCTTTCACCCTGAGGGCATGGTTTATGTTCTCAGAGGATAACTTTATTTTTCAGACATCTTTTCATCAATCTGATCCAACTAATTTACATGAAACTAAAATAAAATAAAGTTACATTATCTTTATGTTTTAGAATGTAATAGATAAAAATAACCGAGTACGGGGATAAAGCATCTTATCATCGGTACTTTATCATGACATAACATTTGTTCTTACATACTACAACAAATGGGGGAGGGAAGCAGTAGCCTAAGTATGAAAAATAACATAAAGAATGGTGGACACCCCCCTTCCCTCGCTTAGTGCCGGTCTGTATAAGCTGTAAACAACTAATGAAGAACCCTACAGCCAAGCTAGGTTAGAACTTAACTAAAAATAATCCGCATACATGTTTATAGTAAGAAATTCTTTGATTTATTCAACCACTTTTACCAATTTCTAACAGTAACTCTACACCAAAAAGCTTTAATTTACCTGTGGAATGAAGATGGTGTCAGTGTTGTTATAGTCGGAGGGTGTCCATCTCAACAGCTCATCTGTCCATGACAACATAAGGTATCCCGTGGTAACCAGCTTCTCCTTGACCTCGTTGACCTCATTGATACTGCTTAAGTAAAAACTGACGTCCAGCTGGACCGGCTGATTTTGGCTGACAATGGGGCGGACTTTGGACGAGTAACTAGCAAAAAGGTCGGAAATTAGAGTCTGTACATTTTGGTTTGTTTGTGGAGTAACACTTTGAATAAAACAGAACATGGTTAGCAACGAAATCCTCATTTTGCAGTAAACCATAAACATCAACTTAAAGAAAAATAAGTACACTTTCAAATAAACCTTTTTAAGAATTCATTTAGCTGAATACACAATCCAGTACTTTTTTGGTGAAAGCAAGAAACAATATCACATGTTGAAGCAAATCATTTTGAAAACCCGTAGACAACAAGGACGTTTTATATCCAATCATTTAATCTCCTCTGTCACTCGATTCCGCTACGTTGAATTGATGTTAAAATACCCAAGAGTCTTTTGAACAATCAGTGCTACCAACATGCATCAATACAGTGAAGCATTTTAACAAGAGAAAACAAGGAATATACAATAGGTTCCAAAGCACATCTAAAGTTTTGTACCCGATCCATGCAACGGAATTGGCTATTTACTCAGCAAGAGTGACGTGTATTATTCTTGTGCAACTTTATATTTCCATATAAACCCAATCTACCAGTGTATAAAGGAATCATGGGGTTGTCTTTTAAAGCCCCTTTATTATTCAGGAAGCGTTACTGACGTCTTTGTAATTAAATATTTTTGTGAAAGGAAACTAGAAGCCAAGTTGATTATCTAGTTTAAATGTCACTCAAAATTAAAAAAAAAATACAATAAAATATAAAAATCTGAGATCATTGAACAACAAATAAGTAGTGTAAGTAATATTTACATTATCTAAATTATCTTTGAAGGCTGACAGGGGAATGAAAAAGATTGTTGCAGACATCAGTTCACAGATAAATCATTAAACGTTGAAACAAGTACTTAAGTATATTAAATATGCACACCGCTTTTAGACACTACAGTTTTGCATATGTTTTATGCAACAAAGTTGCTCTTGGGCAAAGATGCTTATTTGATCCTGTCATACGAGAGTCGTTCGAAAAATTCGTAGACTTTTGTCATAACTTTTCTATTTAACGTCATATTATAACCAAATTTCCTCCATAGAAAGGAGACTTTGAGTATAGGGTTCACCATGCATCCGACACATACCTTGCTTTGGACACCTTTCAGCAATGATCACCGTGTTTGACTTATTCATATCTTAAAGCCGAAGATTTAAACTTTTTTATGATGCCTATTTTTATCATCATATGTTGTAATAAAAATACCTAGATAATGGCCTTGACATCATGAAAGAGGAGTAACCAGAAATTTATGATTATGCAAATTTTTAAAGTTCTCTTTCATTCAGTAGACTTCAACAGGGCCTGTTCAAGGGAACGAGTCCGTCTTGGGGTGAATTTTGTTGATGATTGATAGTTCTATAAAGAATTTCAAGAAATTTAATTCCAAAATTTGTATTGATTTTCTTAGAGCTGTATATTTTTTTTACTAGTATGTTCATTTCATCATGCATCTGATGCGGATAATTACTTCCTTTTTCGTAAAGAAATAATATAAATAGTACCAAACTGACAGCTAATTTTGCCGAAAAAATAAAATATAAACTCGACAGATTCAATGAAAATACAACTTATAGATATATGACGACTAGAAGTGGTCTCTCTTTATATCTTCAAACTATAGGTAATCTATGATAACCATAGACCAAGGCGCAAGTTGCCATGTTAAGAGGCATTGCATTGCAAAGCAATCTTAGACGATGTGATGCAACTAAAATCTCTCTACATTTGTGCATCGATATTGTCAATCAAATTAAGTGGAGAGTTATTTTTTTAAATGAAGCATAAAAATATTTTCATGTCACTAATTTTTATAAGCATTTCAGGTATTTTAAAGGCCATTGCAGTAAAGGTAGGACGTTTATGCGGTTCAATTTACCGTTTGTCCGATGCATGGTAAATATTGTCCGATCTATGGTGAATTCTGGCTCATTTAAAAAAAATCATTTTTTTAATTATGTTTTCTCAATAAAAAGCAAAAAATTGTGCCACAACTTCATATTTTAATCACATAATATATGTTTAGCTCCACTTTAATAATATTCGGTCGGTAGCAAAAGGACTAAAACCTGTTCAAGTACGAGGGTGTCCGATGCATGATGGACTAACCCTAAATTGGATTACTACTTGTAGAGCTTATTCCAAGTTCATCTAAATGCAATTTTAATAATGAGCCTTGCAAACAGATAATGCTGTTTTGCTGCTTCGTCAGCTGGACCATTACATACTGATCGAGTAAGGTATCTAAAGGATAGATGGTTTTTATATTGCCTCTCAACCATTAATGCTTTCTTTGTGTGAAAATGCAAGAATTAAGGAGAGATTCTTGACATATTTATTGTATTAAAAAAAATAATGAAATTTTCACAGATTCAAGAAGACCATTTCACTAAGTGATGGTATCAATTACATAAACTTTGACAGTTTCATTTTAGGAATAAGGTCAGGTCAAGGTCATTTTCTTTTCCCTTGACATTAGGAATAAAAAAATTACTGTTTCCTATCATGTAATTGATGCCTACTTTTATTTTAAAAGTTCTAAAAGATGCTTGAGTTTCTGATTGACAATATCTATGTAGTTTTTGGAGATCAAGTCTTCCAATAATTTATCGGAATTTCCATGGGTTCCAATTGCATTCCTTTATTAGCGGACTTATTTTTATATTCATATGAAGCAGAATCTATTCAAAATCTTCTACATGAGAAGAAGAAAACACTTGCTGTGGCTACAACTCGACCTTTAGATATATTAGTTAACAATAGTTACTTCCATTCACATGTTGACTCGATATATCCCAGTGGACTAGAAATATAAGACACCACAAAGTCTGACACGCCTGTTTCATATTTCCATTCATACGTGGGGTTATCAAAAAGTTCGTGGACTAGCGCCATAAAAATAAAACCGCTTGAGGTACATCAACGAATTTTTATATGTTTGATAAGCATTATCTGTGCTATCTATGAAATAAACTATAAATCATAAGTTTTATTTTTTTAATGAATTATTAATATTATTGTAAGTATGGTATGTCCAGGCGGCGCATCCTCGAACATGACGTATTTTCTGTGTAAGTGTAACTGAGAAAAACTCTTTTGATGTGAGCATTTGTCTTCCGAAAATCCCGTTAATTCATTCATGTGATTTGACACCATTGTTCGGTAAAAGTTGCAATTTTTACCTCCTTCTGTAAGTTCTATGAAATTTAATCGTAAATTTTATATGGAATGTTCAAACAATTAAGTGGTTAAATTGACGTCAAGGGGGTGTGTGTCATTTTTCGACGACATTCTATAAAGTTTCACACTCTGGAAAAATTAGCATACACCTAGAAAATGTTTAAACGGGCTACAGAGAAATAAAATGCATCCATGGTACATGTTTTTAGATGCAAAAATAGATCCAGCGAGTGAAGAGACGCACAGTTAAAGTCGATTTGTAGTCAGGGTGTCCAAAGTCAGTCACGTCGAAAAGTGACGTTGATCATGTGTGGTAGAAATTGAAATCCGACAAGCAAATTATGCTGGTATAATCAAGCGAGGACCTTTCCCTTTGTATAGATCCATTTACAATATTAATGCATTGATATCAGAGGTTCATGACATTGTTATGTCAAATAAACAAGACGGGTTTAGCTCTTTACTTAACTCCTGAGAATCTCATCAAGATAAGTGTATTGAGGCAGAGGGAGCGGACATTGAGAAACATTGACGTTGTCGGACGTCAAGAAACTCAAAGGCGACAACGCCGGGTGATCATATAATGTGTTTTTTATTTAATGATAGTTAAGAAAATTTTCAAGATACCAAGCTGAAATTTTCAGCATTTCTTAAACTTTTGTTGTTTTATGTTCTTTATAAATTTTGTCATCAACGACAACATAGTATTATTTTATCACACCAGTCCACGAACTTTTTGATAACCCCTCGTATTTCGATTCCATATATCCCAGCGTACTTGAAAAAAAAGACACCACAGAGTCCGACAGTTCTGTTTCATATTTGGATATTTTAATAGAAAAAGACGTTAATGGTAACCTAATAACAAAACTTTATGATCAGCATGATGACTTCGATTTTTCTATCGTCAACTTCCCTTACCTATGTAGCAATATACCTTTATCACCTGCATATGGGGTTTATGTCTCCCAGTTGACTCGATACGATCAATTTTTAAAACGAGGCAAGCTATTAACCAATAAGTTGATGAAACAAGGATATCTACAGTCTCAATTGAAGTCATCATTTCGCAAGTTCTATGGTCGATACAAAGGCCAAGAAATACAATCAACCAATCAATGCTGACTGACGTTTATCATACTAATTGTTAGGTCATTATTTACACACTGAAATTGCCACGGATTTTTTCGTTTACCCGATTATGACAAGGAGCACACAGCGGGTGTGACGGTCGACAAGGGAAACTTACTCGTCCATGGAACCTGATCCCTTCTCTGATGTTTTTGGAGGTCCTTGTTTGGTCTGCTCCCGCTTTGTATTGTTTAAATGGACTATAACCTTGAATACTGTTCGTTATCTCTATATTTCATTTGGATGTTTTACTGACTATAGACGGTAATGGCCAACTTACAACTAAATTGTCTGAAAATCAAGATGACTTCACCTTTTCCGTCTTCAACTTTCCTTATTTATGTTGTAAGATTCCGCTATCACCTGCATATGGTATTTGCGTCACCCAGCTTATTCAATACCCAAGAGCATGCTCTGAGTACGATTAACTTTTTAACCGAGGCAAGCTACTGATAGATATGTTGATGTTACAAGGATTTCAACAACGTCTTTTAAAGTCAGCATTTCGTAAATTCTATGGTCGTTATAATACATGTAACCTTGTTAGCAAATATAACCTGACATTAGGCCGTATGTTGGCTAACTTGTTTTATACCAATTGTTAGGCCTTCATTTTATACTGATTTTGACTACGGAGTATTCCGTCTACCTGATCAAACATAGGGCTCTCGGCGGGTATGACAGGGGATGCCCCTCCTAGGCACCTGATCCCACCTTTGGGATTTCCAGGGGTCCGTGTATTATGCCCTCTTGACAGATTCATATTCT